TGCGTGCGTGCGCATGTGCGTGTGCGTGTGCGTGTGTGTGTGTGTGTGTGTGTGTGGTGAAGAGGAGGGGGGACCACAGCAGACTGTATTGGAAGACAATTTTCCAGTTGTGAACAGTGGAAGTGAGTAGGCTGCTTTTTCTTCTACAAGCATGTGATTGTCCCCAACATAATACCGATGGGTGGGATGGCTCCTCAGACCATCTTAATTTTGTGTTTCTACAGCCGCTTGATGTCATGTGAGAACTGTAAGCATCTCAGATGTTAGGGTTTAGTAACACAGCCACGCTAACACCTGCGACGGTTTCAGATAGCCGGTGGGAGAGACGGGGCTGCTCTGGAAGGTGACAGTGGGTCACTATGGCAGTTAATAGCCTTTCTTGATAGAATCAGTTCCTCTTTCCTTCCAGCTTGACATGTTGAAGGGCCTGCTGATTCTCTTTTCAAGATTGAGAACACACATCTCTCCTTCCCTCCAAATATGACCCTAAACCGTCCGAATCCTCCCGCAGCCAAAGCAGACACTGCCCGGCAGGTGCAGCGTCCGGCACTGCGGCCTCCGCTCATGAGCGTCTGCTGACCTCTTGTGGCTCAGCCCAGGGAGGGCGTTGGGGGGCATGGCGTCCCTGTTGGATTTGCCTGTGGAGCTAGTGGCTTTTAACGTTAAGAAAACAGACCCAAGAAATCAGAACTCAGGCACTTCTAACAACACCCCTGGCCTCTGTCGCTCTGTGCGACCCTGGTGGGCGTGTTTACAGGATCAGCCTTCCATTTGTCTTCTGAACCTGAAGCCCTAAATTCAGCAAACAGCTTAAAGCTTCTTTCTGGAAGAGCAAATTCCAAGATTTGACTCCGAGATGGGAACACGTTTTTTTAAAAATAAATGTCCCCAGTAGCCTGAATGCTAGCAATGTAGCAGAAGGAAAACCTAGCGGGAACGCTCTCTCCACAGCGATGAGAACGTGCCTTCTGAAAGCCCTGATAATTAGCAAGAGCTGGGAACACATTTAACCACCTCAGCTGGGCCATTCTCTGCGGGCACAGGGCCGGGGATTGCAGGGAAAAGAGGGTCCACACCACGTGTTAGACTTGGCATCGAGCACTGACTCTAAACTCCCAGTGACCCTCGGAGGACGCTCCGACACTTGTCTTTGTCCTTGATCACGGAAGACCATTAAACCTGAGGGTCCTCACTACTCAAGCTTAGATTCTGTTTCTGTGACCCTAGGGACAGACAGCACAAGGTAGGGTGCTCAGTAGGGGTTCAATAGATGTTGTTAGCTTAACTTAAAATGATGAGCATTGTGTGAAATTTAAAACACATTTAAAGCATTAAATAGGTTAGGTCTTGAAAAGTTTTTGAAGGTATGTGGGATGTACATTTTTTATCACGTATCCTCTTCTTTACTTTCTCCAGGAAACACTTCTTTTCTTTTGTAATTATCAAAATTTTTATTAAAAATTTTTTTCGATTATAGTTTACATTCAGTATTATTTTGTGTTAGTTTCAAGTGTACAACACAGTGGTTAGACAATCATATACTTTACAAAGGGTTTCTCCCCTAATATTTCCAGTACTCACCTGGCACCATACCTAGTTATTACACTGTTATTTTTAAGTTAATTGATAAATTAAAGGTATGTGTTTCCAACTTTTTTCCTTTTTATTGAATTTATTGTGGTGACATTAGTTAACAAAATTATGCAGATTTCAGGTGTATTAGTCTATTATTGACTATATTTCCTATGCTATACCAGGAAATACTTCTTGATCACCCCTACTTGCTTACACTTAGCTTATTTTTACATAGCTGGAGTTAGCCATATTTTTTATTATATTAAATATTTCATTTAGGCATTTATTTGAATATTTTATTTATTTTTAAAATTTGTTTTTATTGACTTTAGAAAGCGAGGAAGGGGGAGAGTGTGTTTGTAATTATTTGTGTTTTTAAATCCTCCCCCGAGGATATGCTTCCTTCATTGGTTCTAGAGAGGAAGGGAGAGAGAAACATTGATCAGTTAGTTGCCTCCAGTATGTGCTCCACCTGGGGATCAAACTCATGATTGCTTGGTGCATAGGTCGGCACTTAACCCTTAGCAACCCGGGCCAGGCCTGAATTGTCTCCTCTGTGACTTTCACAACATGGGCAGCAAGTGGTGCTGTATGTGACTCGCTGCCTGACCCAACTGTTGAGGCTTTTGTTAGAGAAGAAGTTTGGAAAAAACTTATCTTCACATCCAGGCCTGAAAATTATGGGGACCATCTTCTGCTCTGTCCTCCTTGCTCTTTGTAACATTGTCCTCTTCTTGGTTCTGTCCCAAGATAAGGCCACCAATCCTTCCAACCGCCAGGAGGACTGGGAATACATAATCGGCTTCTGTGATCAGATCAACAAGGAGCTGGAAGGGTGAGTCTCCGAGCTGTGAGGGGACAGGTGCCACAGTTGCCTGGGAAGGTACCAAACTGAGGCCGAGGTGGTCTAGCCAGAGGGCCTCAGGGTCAGTGTCTTGAAAATGTGGTTGCTTATCTCCTAGGCCACAGATCGCTGTCCGACTGCTGGCCCATAAGGTCCAGTCCCCACAGGAATGGGAGGCGGTCCAGGCCCTGACGGTAGGTTTTTCATCCTGAGGGGGATCTCCGTGAGCCCAGGCCTGTTCGGGAGCATGTTAGATGTTTTACAGATGTGTGCGCCCTTGTGCCAGGCACTGAGGCTTCAAAGATGGCTGCCCGGCCATGAGGTCTAGTGGGAGAAGCAGAGGCTGAGGGAGGGAGCCAGAGGCAGGGCCCTGAGCCGAGGGTGGGGCTCAGAGAAGGCTTCTGGAAGACATGTTGACAGAGCTGTCCTGCCAGTTCAGAGCTGGCCGACTGAGGCAAAGTGGAGGTGAGTATAAGTCACTCCGGAGCAAAAAACTGCGTTACTAGTGAAGGCATCACAGCAGGGGCAGTCTTAGAGTTTATTCAGACTAAGAGGATTCAAGACATGGACCCTCTCACCCGAACAGAGGAGCCATCCCAGGGTCCTGCCTGACCTCACTGAGGTGCTAGGAAAGGGGAAGAGAAGTGGCCGTGAAGAGGGTGCTTAGGCGGCCCACACGCACGCCTCTGTCGCCACCGAAGTCGAGCGGCGGCCTCAGACGGTGGTGCTCAGGGTGGTTTTGGACATTCGGTGATAGGTGGAGGCGCTTTTGGTTTCACGTCACAGATGCCACTGGCATCAGGTGGGTAGAGGCCAGGGATGCTGCCCACACCCTGCAGCCCAGGGAGGCTTCCACAGAGGAACGGCCAGTGCATATGTCAGTAATTGCACGGCTGGAAACCCTGCTCACGAAGACGGAAGCAAGAAGGGGACCTCTGGGCTGGCGTGCCCCTCGGCATAACCTGCAGGCAGAGGGAGCTTGTGGTAGTTGTATGGCCCCAGAGGAAATACATGGAAGCGGGGGAAGGAACCTATGTCATCTAAAATGTAGAAACGATTAAAACTTCATCTCCCACCTCCCCAAAATGTCCATCAGCTTGTGGAAAGAACCTGGACCTTGAGTCAGAATCCTTCTTGGGGCCTCATTTTCCTCATCTGTAAAAATGGCAGCATCTTGCGGCACCCCCACCGAGCCTCTCCTGTGTGTGGCCACAGGTGCTGGAGGCGTGTATGAAGAACTGTGGGCGGAGATTTCACAACGAAGTGGGAAAGTTCCGGTTTTTGAATGAGTTGATCAAAGTCGTCTCTCCAAAGGTCAGTCAGTGCAGTTTCCTCATTTCTAGGAACTTCCTTTGTGTTTCTCCCCCTCTCCCACCTACTAGCTGTTACTGCACAACCAGCATCTCCATGGATTTGATTTCTTCGCCTCGTGTCTTTGGAGAGCTGGGCCCTGTGGGTAGCGGTTGACACCACAGAGACAGGCAGACCTCTGGCGGGCTCCCAGCCTAAATACGACAAGTGACGTGTATTGGGAGGGCCTGGATAGCACAGGCCTTTGGTTCCTAGCACAGAAGCCAGTTGTGTGTGGCCGATCTCACGTGGATACAAGGAGCTGGCCTCCCTTACTCAGCTGCTCAGGTTCTGTTGCTCACTCGTGTTGCTTACACTCTGGGCACCCACAGCAGAGGGAACAGTTCTTGTGCTAAAGACATGGGCTCCTTTGAGATAAAGCGTAGTTGTTTCTGGCAGATTGTGCATGGAAATTCAGGGCCCAGCTCCTGGCCCCCTGCCTAACCACAGATGGATACAGCTCCGCCCCAAGCAGTGTCCTCTCCCCCCCACCCCTGCTGCCTCACACCTGATCCCTGCTGGTTTCCCATAGGTCTGAGGGCTCTAACTTTTAGCAACCACCCATTGCTGTGAAGAGAGCCTTCCCACTGTTTCTGCCTCCAGACTACAATTACCAGTTTTCCGATTTCCTTTTGCCTCTTAGTACCTGGGGGACAGGGTGTCTGAGAAAGTGAAGACCAAGGTTATTGAGCTACTTTATAGCTGGACGTTGGCCCTGCCAGAAGAATCAAAGATCAAAGATGCCTACCACATGTTGAAGAGACAGGGTATGTGCCTACTCCCGCCTCAGCCTCCATGCAGCCCAAAGGCTGGCCAAGGCCAGGAAGAATGAGGGGGTGTCTGCTGTCCCCATGCTATGTCCCTTCCTCCCTCCTGAGGACAGTGGGGCAAGCTTGGCTGGCGGTTAATGGGAGGTGTGTGTAGCCTGCTTGTCCCTGCCCTTACGGGTCCTGATCACAGGGGGGTGTGTCCTTGCTGTGTGAGCAAACACTGCCCTGTGTCACCTTTCAGGCATAGTGCAGTCTGACCCACTGATCCCTGTGGACAGGACACTGATCCCCTCTCCACCACCTCGTCCCAAAAACCCTGTGTTTGATGATGAGGAGAAATCCCAGGTAAAGTGCATCCAGCCTGCAGAGTCCTCAGGCGAGGTGTGGCCTCGCTCACGCTGCGGGGAGCTCCAGTTCCCCGGGTGGAGCGCTGCCTTTGCCTTCACCTTTGATACCCTTCTCGTCCAGCTTTTAGCCAAGTTGTTGAAAAGCAAAAACCCAGATGACCTGCAAGAGGCCAACAAGCTGATCAAGTCCATGGTGAAGGAAGTGAGTGGGCCCTGGGCCCTGGGCGTGGGATGGTGGAGCCCATGACGCAGAGAAGCCCTTTCCCTTGGCATCAGGCCTGCTCTTCGCCCCTGCCACCAGCCTGCACATGGAGAGGCCGTGGATGGACTACAGGAGCAATGGTGGATGGGGACAGGACTTTTTATTTGTTTTTTAAAATATATTTTATTCATTTTTCACAGAGAGGAAGGGAGAGAGATTGTTAGAAACATCGATGAGAGAGAAACATTGATCAGCTGCCTCCTGCACACTTCCCACTGGAGATGTGCCCGCAGGCCGACACTCTGTCCACTGAGCCAAACCGGTTACAGCGGGACAGGACTTTTAAAACAAAAACCTGTTAACAGTCTGAGGCCTGTGGTTTCCAAGCACCATGTTCTCTGGTGTGACCCATGCCTTGAGGGATTCTGTGGGGCAGTGGGACAAGTCTAGTTGAGCTTTCTCCTTGATCCTTTACAGGACGAGGCACGGATCCAGAAGGTGACCAAGCGCCTGCACACTTTGGAGGAGGTTAATAACAACGTGAAGCTGCTCAGTGAGATGCTGCTTCATTACAGCAAGGAGGACTCGTCAGAGGCAGATAAAGAGCTCATGAAGGTAGCTCCCCCCCCCCTGAGGACAGCTGGGCTCTGGGCAGGGAGCCAGCCTTCGCCAGGTGCCTGCTCTGTTGAAGATGCTGCTGCACATCTGCAGGTCCCTAACTTGCCCCGGGCAGAGGAGCTGCGTGTGCACGACTCTGACTGAGCCCTGTTCTCAGCCTTGCCTCCTGCAGAGGTCCCTGTGCCCTAATGTGGCACCTCAGTTCTTGGCCACAGATACTTTGAAGTCAGTACATGCTGGCAGGGATGTATTTGCCCTTGTCTGTCCCGGTGACTTCTCTGCCTAAGCAGGTATTTGGGTGCCAGTGCGGTGCAGGCTGGCAGTAGAGGACTTGTGCTCTGAGCCAGCTCTACCAGTAACTGACCATGATGCCAGGAGAGCCTGTGATTTTGTGGGCGTGAATGCTAAAGTAGATGATCTCCAAGGTTATGTCTGGGTCTCTTTCAGGAGCTGTTTGATCGGTGTGAGAATAAGAGGCGGACATTATTCAAACTAGCCAGTGAGACAGAGGACAATGACAATAGTTTGGGTGAGTGGAAAGACTAGTTGACAAGTACGACCCAGGAATTGGATTTGTGTGTGGAGGGGGAGTTGTCAGGGCCAGGGATGAGAAGTCTCTTTTCTACTCTAGGGGACATCCTGCAGGCAAGTGACAACCTCTCCCGAGTCATCAACTCATACAAAACAATCATTGAAGGGCAGGTCATCAATGGTGAGGTGGCCACCTGGCTCAAGGGGATTCTAAATGGTTCTCCAGCTTCCCAGAGGGCAGGGGGTCGGATAGGGCTTTCTCCACCTGCTTTCACTTTTCTACTTGGCATGAGTGCCCTTGGGTTAGGCCAGAGGCTGCATAGCCACTCCAGTGCCCCTAATGATTCCTGTCCCCTTCCATTCACTCCTCTAGGACACCACTCCAGGAACCAAGGCACTCTCATTGACCTTGCAGAGTTGGATGCACCGGGCAGCTCAACCCCCGTTTTGGCCCCCGCCCCACCCTCCTCTGGCATCCCCATCCTCCCTCCACCCCCCCAGGCCTCAGCTCCTGGGCGCAGCCGCTCGTCCAGCCAGGCGGAGGCCCCCCCAGGGCCCAACAACACAAGCAATGCCCTCTCCTTGCTGGATGAAGAGCTGCTCTGCTTGGGTGTGTCCTGGAGGAAGGCTGTAAAGGCTTCTAGCAGAACCAGGAGAGAAAGGGCATGGAATTAGAAGGTGGCCTATATGGTGCCCCGGGTACTTAGCATGGACAGGGAGGCTCAGTTGTAGGGAGAGAAAGTCAAGTTCAGTGTCCCTCAGGCTGTCTGTAGTCGACTCTGGGAGGAAACGGTAGACCGTCTTACTCTGCTTCCATCTTCCTTGGAACACCCCCCAAATGGCCTCCACTCTGGAGGTTGCCAGGGGAATACATCCTTTTTACTGTGGGACCCCCTCCTCAGATGGTGGAGCTGGAGCTGCCCAGCCCTGCCCCTCTGCTCATCACAGCCATCTTTGTTCTCAGGCCTTGCTGACCCAGCCCCTACGGCTCCTCCCAAAGAGTTAGCTGGAAACGGCCAGTGGCCCCTGTTCCAGGTAGGTGTACAGGTGACATCACTGAGACACTGGACAGCCTTGACTTGTCAGTATCTTCTTTGCCAACTAGTCCTTAGCCCCTGGGGCCCTGTCCTTGGAGGGCTGCTGGTCCAGTGGGATTGCAAAGGAGCCAGGAGTGGAGAGCCAAAACCCTCCACGCTCCTGCTCACTTATACTTTCCGTTCCCCATAGAACGAACAGTCGGACCTGGACTTCTTCAGCCCCAAACCTGGGACTGCTGCTTGTAGCCCCTCAGATGGGCCTGTCCTCCAGCCCTCAGCAACCCCTGCAGGCACCTCCCAGCCTCCACTGCCACCCCCCTTCCCAGCTCCTGTGGTCCCAGCCAGCGTTTCTGCTCCAAAAACAGGCTTTTTGTTCCCCACTGGACTGGCCCCAAAGGCTGAGCCCACAGCCCCCGGGTACCATGGCTCAGCTTTGAGCGACAGCTCCCTGCACCAGTTGGATGCCCTCGATCAGCTTTTAGAAGAAGCCAAAGCGTAATGACTGGGAGATGGGGGTTGGGCTTAGAACCAATGGGGATGGGGATGTTCTTTCTGATCTGAGACTGGAATCTGAAAGCTAGGGGGTACATAGGAGCCAGCTCTGACCTGGGGGTGTGGGAGGCGCTTTGTGAGTTGGCCCAACAGCTCTGCTTGGTCTCTGATTGGCCTTCTCCTTCCTGCCTCCCAGGACCTCAGGCCTGGTGAAACCCATCTCCTCCAGCTTCTTCCCTGGGGCCACCGCCTCCCCTCTGATCCCCAGCAGCACCTCAGCTAGGCCTCTCCTGCCGTTCTCCACGGGGCCTGGCAGCCCTCTCTTCCAGCCACCTGTCTTCCCGTCCCAGGGGAGCCCCATGAAGGGGCCTGAGCTTTCCCTGGCCAGTGTCCATGTCCCCCTGGAATCTATCAAGCCTAGTAGGTGTTGGAGGCTTGGAGTGGGAGAAGTGGGGCCCCTAACTTACAGCGTTGTGGGGAGGGGTGGGTTGGTACAGGCTGTCCTTGCTCGGGCCCCTCAGAGTCAAACGTGACCTATTCCCTTACTGTCCTGGCTAATGCACAGTCTTGTGAAGTTCTGACAGCAGTCCTCTCCCAGACTCCTTCACGGAGCACTGCTCTCCCCACTTGGCTGTAGCAGACACCCCCGGGTTCTGCTGGGGATTGTTGACCTGCTCGCTCCTTCCACACCCACGTGCCACCTTCTTACAGGCAGTGCCCTTCCTGTGACAGCCTATGATAAAAACGGCTTCCGCATCCTCTTCCACTTCGCCAAGGAATGTCCACCAGGACGGCCCGATGTGCTGGTGGTGGTTGTGTCCATGCTGAATACAGCTCCTTTGCCTATAAGAAGCATCGTGCTGCAGGCCGCAGTGCCCAAGGTACTTCCCAGGGCCTCAAGAGGCAGAAATTACCTTTATCTTGACCCCACTGCATTGAGTGGCCAGCAGGCGGCAGTGTGTCCTGGATGTGACCATACTGGGTTCCACCTGCCGCCGCCTCAAAAGGAGCTTTCTCTTCCTCTTTAGTCAATGAAGGTGAAGTTGCAGCCACCCTCTGGGACGGAACTCTCTCCATTTAGCCCCATCCAGCCACCTGCAGCCATCACCCAGGTCATGCTGCTGGCGAATCCACTGAAGGTGAGCTGGAAGCCCCAGGTTAGGATCTTGTCATCACCACCTTCAGCCCTGCCCACCTCCCAACCAGAGTGTCGTGGTACCGCAGCGTTAACCCTGTCCCTCTCCTCCCCTGGTTCAGTGGCAGAGTGAGGTGGGGTGGTGGGATCAGGGCCTGTCCCCCAGCACAAAAAACCTCGAGGTTATTGTCTCATACACTGCCCCTCTGTCGCAGGAGAAGGCAAGGCTTCGGTATAGGCTGACCTTCGCCCTTGGGGAGCAGCTGAGCACAGAGGTGGGTGAGGTGGACCAATTCCCTCCGGTGGAGCAGTGGGGGAACCTATGACCCTGAAGGATGCGGTCATCTCCACTTGGAAGCCCAAATAGGCTGCCCGAGACAGACAGGAGGGCTCTCCGGGTCATCATTCTCCGTGTCCTGACCACAGTGCTGGAGCTTTGGTATGGAACAGGGGCCCTGGGCATTGCTGCCAGGAGCTCAACTGTGATGGTCTCTCCTTTGGCCCCTTAAAGGACCTGTTTTTATCTACCTGTGTGACTTGAAGTGGCCATGTACTGTTGGGCGGGATGTGGCCCCGGACTCTGCACTGTCGCCCTGGGAACACAGACTTAAAGCTGGAGTAGCCCCCCCCCCCCCCACCCCCCCCCCCCCCCGTGCTGGCACCCTGCTGCCACAAGAGAGGAGGTCTCTAAAAAGACTTGGGGCCCTTCCTCAAGGACCAGGTCCTCACTCCCCACCTCCACCATGCTGCTCTGTGCTCCCCTTGCTGGCAGGCTCCTACCTCCAGGAAGGTGGGCAAGGTCCAGTGGTCCCAAACGGGCCTGGGCACGAGAAAGGAGTGGGTGTGCTGCCTTCCACGGGCAGTGCCAGCCTGGAATGGCCACTGGATAAGAGTGTGCTTGTCCCTGGCGATGGCAAGCTGTGTCCTTTGGACATCTCAGCAGGACGTGGAACTCAGCCTATTAGAAACAGAACTTGGCCCCAAAGCAGCCTAAACTAAGGCTGAGAGAAGACAGACGAGAACCGTTTCCCCTTCTCCGAAGCAGGTACTCGGAGCTTTCTGCGAAAAGTGTGCCTCCCAACGCGGGACCAGGCCGGCCTATTCACTACCTCTTGCTTGGCATGAAATAAACTGCTGTCTTGCCCTTCGAGCCCCTGAAGGGAGGACAATTTCTGCCCCCCTCTGTGTCCTCCTGCCTTGGCTTCCCTCTACCCCTAGATGGCCTGTCAGGACAAAAGTCACAGACAGGAGGCCTCAGGGTCAGGCAGTTGCACTAGACTTACCTGCTGCCCAGGAACTGACTGTCCTCAGCTGCAGGGGGTACTGTCAGCGAGATGCTGGGTCTGGAGATGGTGAGATTGGGGCCAGGCTTGAATCGAGTCACCAGACCTTATTGCTTGAACAGTGCTCAGCCCAGCTAGCTGTGCCGGCCTGTAGGCCTCCCAGGGCAACAGGAAAGTGAGAACCACCAGCTGGGGAAAGAGGACACAGCTCACCTGAACTCAGCTGGACGGGCTCAGAGCCATCTCCAGGGGAAGGCGGCACAAGCCACGTTCCTGGATTCCTCCCTGTTCCTTGCCAGGCTTCCTCACCTTCCCCTTCCCTCCCATCTCTGGCAAGCAGGTTTCACTGTTTCGTTAAGATAGGTCAAATGTAAACTGATTTCACTCCTTACAGAATAAATCCAAGAGTTTTCCAGAGGCTGACTGCCGCAGCCCTGGAAAAATCTGTGGGATTGCTACCTGGAACTCTACCTTTACAATGAGGTTTAGACATTAAAATTATGAGTGTGACTGTTTCATGACAAACAGCTATACTGGATATATCAACTCTGCTGCCCTTATTTTACTGCATGTTAAATAAAACCATTTTCATCCTACTTGGAATTCTTCTAATACAGACACCATTCACCCCACTGGGAGGGGGCTCCACTGATGAATTCCAAAGGTAGACATAACCTAGGTTTTTGGTTTTTTTCTCTTACTCCACCTACATTTTTGTTAAAAAGTACAGGGTCCTGGACCTTTTTCTTCTTTAAAAGAGATAACCAGAAAGTTAACATATCAGTGTTTCGGATGATTCTCAGGTGAGGCCATATTTCAAAAGCACAAATAAACCACTAAAGGTCCTATCCATGTTTCTAATTATAGGCAGGAGGGCACTGCACTCACCATAACTTGTGGGGGTGCCTTTTTCTCTAGGAGACAGGGAAGTCACTTCCATGTCAAAAAGAACACAATAAGCGTTTTCTTAACTCTTATGCATCAGGTTCACAGGGGACGTAGATAAAAACTCCCTGGCTGAATGCTATAAGAACTTGCCTTATTTTTGCAAAAGAAAACATTTATTCTTTAAAAAATGTATATACATTGCCACACACAGATTCCGTGCGGGAACAGCTCTCAGCCGGCCTCAGGAACCTTCCAGTGAGCCTTCTTTTATAATTGCCCGAGCCAGATTTCGTGCGAGAGAAAGCCTCAGCATTTCCACCTTGGTGGTCTCTATCTCATCATCCTAAGGGCAAAGAGAGCCAGCATGAGGCACAGCAGGAAGTGATCCTTGAAAGCTCCCATGGGCTCTACCCAAAAGCAGACAGAGGTCACTTGGCATTCAGCAAGAGCTTCCAGCAAGGCTCCATGCAAGAGCTGAAGGCACAGGACCACCACAACTGATTGACAGCAAAGAACAGATCAGAACTAGAATCACCCCATTTTTCCCTAAAAGAAGTTAGTGTATCATGGTTACAGTTTAAGAGGCAGGGGAGTTTGTAAGGGGCCAGTGTTTGTGGAAGGAGGTGGGGGGAGACAGAGATACAGGGAGCCTTTTTTCATCTCTACTGTGAAACCAACCCAGGAAGCTAAAATGACCTGGAGTTGCTGGGCGTCAGGTTCTCCATGCACCGGTCGTCCTGAGGCCAAGTCCTCCAGACATCTCAGCAGCTCGTATGTTTGCTCTGCTGAGAAAATCACCTAGGAGAGAAGCTGCTTCTAGCTGAGGCCTCCTGATTTGGGCCTTAGCCCAAGTTCAGAGATGGTCTTCTTTGCATGCCCCAGGAGAGGGGTTCTTTGGAGATGCAGCCCTGGGAGGGAAAAGCACCTCTATTCTCACTTACAGCCCTAGGATGGGCATGGTCAGCAGGCAACGGCCTCATTTTAAATCAAGTCGTTTTTCTTGGGTGGACATTAGACTTCAGAGTGGGTGCTATTGGGGAGACCTGTCAGGGAGATGACGTATGTTTGCGCATCTGCACCAGTGACAGAGGAAGGACTGTCAAGGACTACAAAACGGAGCAGAAAAGCATTGGGGGCTCAACCTGTACCTGTTTCTGTTCCAAAAGGGGTAGGGCATCTGTTAGGAGTGTCATCCAGAAAGACCGAGGGGCGATCTGAGAAGTCATCAGTGACAGGAGAAGAGAAGCTGCATCAACAAAACGCTTGTCCCCATATAATCGGTGGAATTCACGATACTTTCCTATTGAAAAAAGAGCACTAGGTCACCTCTGGCCTAAACGAGAGAAGGCAGGCACCAGACCAGCCATTCCATAGAGCAGGGACATTCTTCAAAGCTGTATCCAAGTTCAGGCACTAACGAGACCACATACTTTGAAGAGACTCAAACCAGCCAAACTTCAGAGAATGTAAGCATTAAAATAAACAAGAGTTGCCGAAACCGGTTTGGCTCAGTGGATAGAGCGTCGCCCTGCGGACTGAAAGGTCCCAGGTCCGATTCCGGTCAAGGGCATGTACCGGGGTTGCAGGCTCATCCCCAGCAGGAGGAGTGTTGGCCTCTGCGGACTGAGGTCCCAGGTCCGATTCCGGTCGGGCATGTACCGGGGTTGCAGGCTCATCCCCAGCAGGAGATGTGCAGGAGGCAGCTGATCGATGTTTCTCTCTCATCGATGTTTCTAACTCTCCCTTCCTCTCTGTAAAAAATCAATAAAATATATTTTAAAAATAAAATAAACAAGAGTTACAGGTTCTAACAGATTGAACAAAATAACCCAGGAGTCCATTACTTGAGGTAATAAAAGACTAAAACCAGGGATGAAGGGAAAGCCTTCCATACACTGGGATGCCAACTAAAACAAACAATGAGAGGCAGAAAATCAAAGAGGGTGGAAAGTTCAATGAGGAACAAGACATTTAATTCCTGCCATGACTGGTTTGGCTCAGTGGATAGCGCGGCGGACTGAGGGGTCCCAGGTTCGATTCCGGTCAAGGGCATGTGCCTTGGTTGCGGGCACATCCCCAGTGGGGGGTGTGCAGGAGGCAGCTGATCGATGTTTTTCTCTCATCGATGTTTCTGACTCTCTATCCCTCTCCCTTCCTCTCTGTAAAAAAATAGAAAATATTTTTTTAAAAAAGACACTTAATTCCAAAGTATCTCTCCCCAAATTATTAAATCAAAGGGAAAGTCAGTGCTGCATGAAGAAACAGCTGGTGGATGTCACTTTAAGTGATCAGAGTGAAATCCAACAAGGGGACACAGCACAACACATTACCTCGG